AAATCCGTAGGTAAATAGTATGTGTAGGTATCCCGTAGCCATTCCGTAGCTATTTCGTAGCTATTTCGTTATGAAATTAGGGCATCCCATTCTGTAGCTGATCCGTAACGATTCCGTAGCTAATTAGCTACGGAAATTTTCCGTAGGAAAACCCCATGTTTTCTAGTAGTGTATAACCATTTATATGTAAGAGTATAACTAAAAATATAATTCTTTTTAGAAGAAGTGATGTAAGATAACGTTGCAGTTGACTCGAATAAGAACGCATGGATATAAAGATCATCAAAATATGAGTTCGTGTGAAGTAGTTTTGGATGTCTGAAGTTGAGTCGAAAAGTCAGGCGAAACACGAGAACGCGACACCTTTTATTTGTTTACGCGGCATGAACACGCTGGAGCTCATAATTTTTTGTTAAAAAAATGGATTTTTAGAGATAAAATCGCCCTTTTACCACATTTATCATACTCCTAAGAACACAAGAGGGGCGATAAAAGATGATTTTTGGGTGTTGGAGCTCAATCTTGAAAGGGAATCAAAGGAGAACACAAGGATTGATCTTTTAAAGGGAAGACGTCTTGATTCCTTCATCTAGTTCTTGATTTGGTTGGCGAAAATTTACGACTAGATGAAACCTAAAAGGAGAATCCAAAAATGTTAGATGAAACTGGTACTTTCAAGTGTTGTAATACTTTCAGTAGCTTCATTTACATACATGCATGTGGTTTTGATGATAGATTGAAAAGGGTAAATGATAAACCCTACCCTAACTTGACAATTCTTGCATGTTGAAATTAAGACCGTAACGCGATGGGTTAAGTTGTTTAAAATTATTTTCTATGAAGAATGACTTAGATTGATGGAAGTATTAAGTTATTTGAACAAGTTGATTATCATTTTGCATTAATGGGTTGTACCTTATGTATCATGAGTTATACCTTGTGATGAATACGAAATCAATTTTCATTTTTTTTTCAAATTGCAACTAACACATACTCTAAACTACTCATAAATCATATATAACTCAAACCGAACTTAAACCATTAACATCTTAAAAGGAGATCATCTTATCACACCGTTAGGCCAAAACACTTATTCCATTGGCTTTACTTAACTATTACTTTTAAAATAGTGAAATTTAGAGTGAAAATGATGCAGTTTGGTGCGGTTTTTTGGCCAAATCGAACCACAAAACGGAACTTGCGGTTTCTCTCTATATAAAACTGAGTAGTGCAGTTTTGCAGTTTTATGTGTGGGTTCAGTTTGTAAGTTTGTAACAGGTGCGGTTTCGGGTTTTAACCGAGATTTTTGGTGGTGTGGATTAACCACTAAAACCGGAAGGGTTAGTAAAAAAAAAGGGGTTTGGATTAACCACCAAAAACTGAGTTTTGTAACCACTTGGGTTGTGGTGACTTGGTAAGACATGTGGAAGATATGGTGGATAACCTATTGACCCATGTTCAAATCCTGGCACTACTCAGCCTTTGTGGTCATGGAGGTTCGCCTGCAGTGACTCCAGGGCATGAGGCAAAGCCTCATATTTGCAGCGGGGGATTAGTCGGTGCGCGAAAGTTGGCCCGGAAACCCTCGTTAGGGAAGTTCCCTTTCCAAAAAAAAAAACTGAGTTTTGTAAGTAAACCAAATGCCAAAAAGTGGCTTAATTAATCTAGTTTGCAAGAAAAAACCGGTGCATGCAGTAGGTCTCTGAAAATGAAGCACACATAGACCGACTGGTTTCCTTTTGGCTTCATTAAATAAGGGATGTGTTTCTCTGTTCTTTCTTCATCTGGTCGATTTGGGATGTGGGAGTGTTCAGCCAATTTTCTTTTTTCCTTAAATATTTTATGTTTTAAATATAAAAAATATGATCGTTTTACATATATTGATAAATTAACATCCTAAACAGTAAACGCTACTAATATATTTTTATTCAATTAATATATTATATATTGCGGTGCGGTTTCGGTTATTCAATGTGATTACAGAGTATAAAACCACACCGCACCAAAAAATTACGGTTTTTTTAAAATTTAAAATAACACCATCGGTTTTATTTCTGGTTTCGGTTTTT